ATAATTTATAATTAAAAGAATAAATTACCTTAGGGATAACAGCGTAATATCTTTTGATAGACCGTATAGATAAAGATGATTGCGACCTCGATGTTGAATTAAGATTAAAATTAAAGAAGTTTAAATTTTGAGTCTGTTCGAGTCTTAAAATCTTACATGATTTGAGTTCAAATCGACGTAAGTCAGATTGGATTTTATCTATAATAAAAATTAATATAATATAATAATATAAAGTATAAAAATATATATTTAAATATTTATTCGAAAGTGAATAATTTTTTAAATTATTTAATCCCCCTTTTAATAATCGAAAATATTACGAGAATAAACGATGAGCAATACAAAGAAAAGGAAAAAATTTCTATTACTTGAAGGCAATACAAGTCCACATCGCGCAACCGCGATTAATTCGCAATTCCGCATCACGATATATCGGTGTTACAGTAATGCCCGTGTAATTACGTATTGCGCTACTTGCCTCGGATATCCTGTATTGCCGCACCGTTGCTGCGTTTTCTTTTGTCGTAGCCGTAGATTTTGCAAAATCGACGAGTCTCCTTCCTTTCGACGTTTGTCTTCGCGTTTTCTTTTTTTTTTTTTTTTGCATCGAAAAGTATCGTGTCGTGCGTTTACCTTCGCGATACAATCTTCAACGATTTCGAAATAATATTTTTCCATTCGTAAAAATCGAATATTACATTTATTGTAACTTTATTGTTCGATAATAAAGAATTTGTTTCGTATAGAAATGTTTTACTTACTTTTCATCGAGAAAATGATTTTTTTTTTTTTTTTCTTAAAAAGGAATATCTTCGATTGGAACAAAAGTTCTCCAATTTCACTAAATGAAAAAAAAAAAAAAAAAAAATACGAAGAAAAGACAATTTTCAAGAAAGAAATTTTGTGTAATATATACTCGATAAATCTTTGAAAAGTATCGAGTATTTTCGAATGGGAAGAAGAAATTTTCCAACAAAAATATCTAAAGTTTATTTTTTCCAATGCGATAAATACGATCAGAATTGAATTGCATGTACTCGAAAAAGAAGAAATCTCGATGGATGGATTCGAAAACGAAAATATTTTCGCGTGTATCCTTTATATCCTTTCGA